ACCCCTAGCTCACACCGTACCCTAAAATTAATTCAAGATATATCATTAATCTAAATATTAAAAGTAAATCAGGTCGGGTGCAGTTGACTCATGCCTGTAATGCTAGCTCTTTGGGAAGCCAAAGCAGAAGGATCGCTTGAGGTCAGGAGTTTGGGATCAGCCTAAGCAAGAATGAGACCCTATCCCTACCAAAAATATAAAAATTAATTTGGTGTGGTGGTGTGCACATGTAGTCCCAGCTGCTGGGGAAGTTGAGGCAGGAGGATTTCTTGAGCTCAGGGTTTGAGGCTGCAGTGAGCTATGATGATGCCGTTGCATTCCAGCCTGAGCAACAGAGCAAGACCCTGTCTCCAAAAACAAACCAACAAACAAAAAAGTAAATTAGTAAAGTTTCCAGAAGAAAATATAGGAAAATATCTTCATAACATTGAGGAAGGCAATGATTTCCTGAACAGTAAATTAAAAACATTAACCATAAAAGAAAAAGTTGTTCAGTTGGATCTCTTTAAAATTAAGAAGTTTTCTTTATTAAAAGACACCATTAAGAGAGTGAAAAGGCAAGCTACAGACTGGGAGAAAATATTCACAATACATATATAAGAATATGACAAAGGACTCATGAATATATACAGAACTCCTACAATCAATAAGAAAAAGACACCTCTTTTTCAAAATGGGCAAAAAAGACTTGAACATAGATTTCACAGAAGAGCAAAAGAAAAGAAATGGCTGGTAATCATGTGAAAGGTGCTCTACATCATTACTTTTCAGAGAAATACGAACAAAAGCTACCATGAGACAATACTGCACACACACCAGCAAGGTTAAAATTAAAAAGACAAGCGTGTCAAGTGTTGTCAAGGATATAGAGCAACTTTAACTCTCATATATTGCTGATGAGAATGTCAATTGGTATAGCCTCTTTGAAAAATTGTTTGACAGAACTTACTAAAAACTAAATATACCCCTATTGGCCGGATGTAGTGACTCACACCTGTAATCCCAGCACTTTGGGAGGCTGAGGAGGGGGGATTGCTTGAGGCCAAGAATTGAAGACCAGCCTGGGAAACATAGCGAGATCCATCACTACAAAAAAATGTTTTTAAAAATTAGCCAGGCACAGTGGTATGTGACTATAGCTGAAGTGCGAGGATCACTTGAGCCCAGTAGTTCAAAGCTACAGTGAGCTATGATCACGCCACTGCACTCTAGCCTGAGCGACAGAACAAGACCCTCTCTCTAAAAAAATGAAAGAAAGAAAATACTCAACTATCATATATCCTACTCCTGGGTAGATATACCCAAGAGAAATGAGTGCTGTGATATTGTGAAATATGTATTGGTCTTGGTAGGTTTCCTGGCAAAATGCTTGTCTTTTGTATGATAATGGGTTAACTAGTGGATAGCATCCCCTAAAGAGCTTCAGGATAGAGGCTAGTCACCAGAAAGACCAAGGTAAGAGGGACTTTCAGCCCATCTCTGAACCTCCAGGGACAGAAGGGTTGAAGGTTAAGTTGATCACCAACAGCTGATGATGTACTCAATCATGCCTAGATGAAGATGCTTCCAAAAAAAGACTGGGTTTGGGAGCTTTCGGATAGCTGAGATACGTGGAGGTTCCAGGAGGGTGCTGCACCTGGGGAGGGCGAGGAAGCTCCAAGCCCTTTCCCACATACCTTGCCCTCGGCATCTCTTCCATCTGGCCGTTCATCTGTATCCTGTGTAATATCCTTTATAAATAAATCCATAAACATAAGTAAAGTGTTTCCCTGAGTTCTATGAGCCATTCTGGCAAATTAATCAAACCCAAGGAGGGGATTGTGGGAGCCTGATTTATAGCTGGTCCGTCAGAAGCAAAATAACAACCTGTGCTTACTGCCAGCACCCAAGGTGGAGATAGTCTTGTGGGACGAAGCTCTCAACCTGTGGGATCCTATGCTATCTCCAGGGAGATAGTGTCAGAATTGAATTGAATTAGAGGATACCCAGATGGTGTCTGCTGGAGAGTCTGCAGGATTGCATGCTTGGTGTGTGGGGAAATACCCTTCTGGTGTCAGAAACTTCTTTCATGTATATCCTCATACCAGTGCCCATGTCCACTGAAAGAAATGTACAAAAATATTCATAGCAGTTTTATTCATATAGCCAAGAGGTAGAAACTACCCACTGGGCTATCAGTAGGAGAATGGAGAAGTTATTTGTGGTTTAAAAATGAAATGCTCCATAGAAATCAAAAAGAATTAAATGTGGATACTTGCAATATTACGGATGAATCTCATGAACATTCCACAGAGTGAAAGAAGCCAGAAACAAAGAGTGCCTACCACATGAATCCATTTCTAAGTAGTTCCAGGACAGAAAGAAGTTACTGATGGTAATAGAAGTAAGAAACAGGTTATCTCTATAGGGAAGTGTTGGGCAAGAGGTATTAAGTGAAGCAGCCACATCAAAGTAGACTTGCAGTAATGCAGATGTTCAGTTGGATCCTCCGATTCCTTCTAAGAGTAAACAAAGGAATAGAACCATCAGGCAGGTGCCAAGATGTTAGCTGTCAGCTGGTCAGATCTATCTGATAGTTAGTGAACACTGGACACCTCTCCACAGATTTCAAGTGACATACTCGCCATTTATCTTCAAATACATGCAAAGCATACTGTGTTGGACTTTCCTTTTTTAGAAGGCAACTTTCAAATAGTAAATATAAATTTTTAAATGGTCATGTCCATCCAGCAGTTCTGCTTATGGGAATATATCCTATAGAAATACATCTTCACAAGGATATTTAGTATTAATTATAATATTATCTTCATTTCCATATTCTGGATAGGCATCAGCCTCCCCCCGATTCTCACACCCTCTAAATCCCCCTCTAAGAATTGCGCCAACCAGAGATTTCAAACCCTAGGATTCTAGATCTCACTTCCCCAGAACATCCCCTCAAATACCTGGAGACAGTAGTCTTGATACACCAAAGAGTCTTCTTTTATCTTGCTTCAATATTTCTCAACTATTCTTGACATTGTGTGGTTTCCAGACCTCCTTCCACTTAGAGCATTTCCCTCTGGCTTGCTTCAATTTGTTAATACCCACAAAAAGTGCAGTACCAAAAATAAAAACAAAAAAATTTGAATGCAGAACTTCTGATAGGGACTTACCAGGGCAGAATGGAACGGGTTCTTATCTCTCTCATTCTGGTCACTATACACTATTAATGTTTCCTCTAATCCTAAGAGCTGTTTTAACCACAGTCACTTTGCTAGTTCTTATTATATACTTCACAAAACCTCCAGCCCTTCCTCTAATGACCTAGGGCTAAACCGAGCCATCCCCAGCTCAGTGCTTGTGGTTTAGCCAAGTGTGCATGCGAATCTATATTCCTAGCACAAAGCAAAAAATAGAGACACCAAGGAACTTGTGTGTAGATGTTGGCCAAAATGTGTTCTAGCCAGTGTGTAACAATTAAGTTGTGAAGCAATGACATTCTTTAGCTGATCAAGCACTCTCTCTCCCCACTCCTTCCCCTCTTATAGGAAGACCCAAACCCAACTCCCACCTGACTGAGACATGAACAAAGCTGTTCTGGATTTGCTCGTGTTTGCCATCCTCTGGCCTAACTTTATCCAGCAGCACAGCCGGTAGAGCAGCAAAGGAGAGCGATGAGCCAGACTTCTCACCTTAATGCCCAAGCCAGCTAGCCAGGTGTCTTGGCCATGTCCCTTGGCATCTCCAGATCTCTTCCTGAGCCCACCTTGCTGGCAGTGGTGACAGTAGAGTTTTCCCCAACCTCAGATCACAGAGCCCTACAGCCTCAAAGCCAAACAAGATCTGAGAAATCACCTTGCACCTCTCCTACAGCAAAGTCCTTTCCCTGACATCACTACCGGCAGGCGTGCAGCCTTATCCATACTCTGCTTACATATCTAAACTTACAGCGACCTTAGTGTTTCTCAGTTAGCATTCCTTGACCACCTGCTGCATGCCAGGGGCTGTCAGGTACTTTCTGATATGTAATTTTATTCTTATAGCATAGCCATATCACTTTTTTCGCCATTTTACAGACAAGGAGGCTGATAACTAATAAATCCCATGATGTTAGACCATGTGACTCCAAGCTAGAGGTGCTGGGGGAGCAGAATAAGGGCTGTAGCCCACAGCGTCGTCCTCTCCAGGGCTCCACTGCCTTCACTGGCACCACTTGCAAATATAGTCTTAAAGTACTTTGAAATAATTCTCTTTTAAATGTCTAAAAGAGCAGAAGTTTAGAAGTCAGACAGACCTGGTATTGAATCCCAACAGCTTATAAGCACCTGAATATCTGGATTTGTCTCCATCTTCTCCGTATCTTTCCCTGATGGGCCTGGCATTGCTCCTGGCAGTCTGTTGATGCTTATTGATAGATTAATAATAATGCTGTGTATCTGTGTGCACATTACCTTTTCCAAGTTATCCTTTTAACTCATAACCCGCTCATTAATCCATTCTAAGTACAAGCCATTATGCAGAGAGGTGTGAGTGGCACAAATATGAATTAGAAAGACTGTTGCCCTTGAGGAGCATCATATCTAGAAGATAGGTAAGATATGTGTCACAGTGTGATCCTCACAGTAGCCACGTTAGGTCAGTTAAACCAGGATTATTATCCCCATTTTATAATTGGAAAAACTGAGCCCCAGAGAAGTGCAATGACTGCCTCAAGTGGCAGGGCTGAGAGGAGGGCCAGCACCACAACTGAGGGAACCTGACGTCCCGCTCAGCTCTTCTCATCGGGAGGTGGTGACTGCACAGCATTATTAGTTAAAGGAAATAACAGGTTTTTCAAACTCTCACTGCTCTATAGATTATGGTGTGAAGATTTGCCTGATCGTGCTTTGCCCTTCTTTAAACCCCATCTCCATCTCCCTGTCCTGTAGGGGATATAATATCCTTGCTCCGTCACAGCTCCCTCCAGCTCACTTACATTTTATTTATTTACACGTATTTCTCTCTCTTTTTCCCTCCAGGTTGTGATCAATTATTCAATCGTGAAAGGGCTGAAGTACAATCAGGCAACACCAACCTTCCACCAGTGGCGAGATGCCCGCCAGGTCTACGGCTTAAACTTTGCAAGTAAAGAAGAAGCAACCACATTCTCCAATGCAATGCTGTTTGCCCTGAACATCATGAATTCCCAAGAAGGAGGTAAGTAGGGCTTTTGTCTTGGCCTGATACCAAGACCTTCTCTTGTTCTATCCCTGCCCCCCTACAGCTGTGGCTCTCTGGACATCCTAGCACCACCACTACATTGAGCTGATGTTACATGGGTTCTGCTGCCTCACTCTAGATTTAGAGAGAAATTGACAGTTTGATGGAGGAAAAAATGGAAGTTTGTATCATTTTGCATTTGTGAGGCATAGATATGTATTGATGTGTTCCTAAATCTATATATCCAAGTCTGTTTCATGTTTGCCATCCTAGTTCCATATTCTAGAACACATTTGGCAGAGTAAGAGAGAACAAACAACAATTTATTTTTGAATTCAATTATTCATTCATATGCTTAATGTTTTCTAAATACTTAGTACAAGAGACTGGCTAGACAGAGTAGATAAAAAATATTTAATAAATAGGGTCCTTCCCTTCAAGGCACTTAGTTTTTCGGGTAGACAGATTCATAACTATGATGTATTGCTATAAGTGCTCTAATAAAGGTACGTTCAAGGTATTTAGGGACCACAGAAAAGGAAATAAGTAACTCTACCCATCTGGGCCACTAAGAGAGGCTTCCACAGCAGTGGTGACATTTGAGCTAAGGTTTGGAAGAACTAGGAGTTTAAACACAGAGGCAGGAGTGGGCATCCCAGGCAGAAGGAGCAGCAAGCAAAGACAGAGGGCATGCGCTGGGGTAGAATGTAATGCAGTGTTTCTGGGGCCTGGGATACGGATGGTAGGTTTGCTATGAAACTGGAAGGGTGATGGGGCTTGCACAGTGAAGGGACCTAAATACCTGGAAGACTTTGAGTGGGCTTGATCTTTGGTGTAGACAGTGGGGGCATGGGGGCTAACCAAAAGTTTCTAATCAGACAAGTTAAAAGCAAAAATACATGTGGCTTTCATTGGACATTTGCCATGGTAGCTTTGGAGGGAGGAGCCAGACTTTCCTGGGTGTGGATGTTTTGATTGGGTTAGGTATGGGCCTGCAATTGACATTTAAATGAACTAGAATGTAAAATGTCTAGAAGGCTGCCTTGGCACACGTAGTAACCACTTAGTATTTGTGTTACTACTAGGTTTACTAGAACCTAGTAGTATCTAGTAGTAATGCCCAGTGTGAGTATTATTACTGTGGCTATTGCTGCTGCTGCTGTTGCTACTGCCAGAATGTAGGAGGGAAGTGGGGAGACATGGTGCTCAGAACCTGGAGGGAGATGGTGCTTAAATGTCTGTTTATTGGAGCTTATAACATTGGAGCTTTGGGGCCCACTTTAAACACTAGGAGAATTTTTTAAGTAAATAAGGAACACATTTGGAGCATGCTCCCCATTGGTCGTACCCAGAGCAGGTACTTGTACAGTGCTTTCCTGTCATGACAAGGATCGCGGTTTGTGGATTTTCTGCTTAGAACTGTGTGTGTGGTGAGGAAGCTCCTCGGCCACAGCAGTGCTGAGTGACCAGCACAGGCCTGACACTCGCAGGCACCCACAGATGTTTATTAACCTGTCTTTTCCACCGAAGAGCCTTGATCTTCCTGGTGAAGGGAGTTTAACATTTGCAATCTGAACTTCCCTACCTGCCCCCAGGATGTGGGAGTTAATCTTTATTTTTTTTTTTTTTTTTTTTTTTTTGAGACAGAGTCTCACTTTGTTGTCCAGGCTAGAGTGAGTGCCGTGGCGTCAGCCTAGCTCACAGCAACCTCAATCTCCTGGGCTCAAGCGATCCTCCTGCCTCAGCCTCCCGAGTAGCTGGGACTACAGGCATGCGCCACCATGCCCGGCTACTTTTTTATATATATATATATATCAGTTGGCCAATTAATTTCTTTCTATTTATAGTAGAGACGGGGTCTCGCTCTTGCTCAGGCTGGTTTTGAACTCCTGACCTTGAGCAATCCGCCCGCCTCGGCCTCCCAAGAGCTAGGATTACAGGCGTGAGCCACAGCGCCCGGCCTTAATCTTTATTTTATCTGTGCATAGAGATATGCTGAGGGGCAAAAAGAAAGGTTTTAGTCAAACACTCTTTCAAAGCAAGCACTTAAATTAAATAAAAGCTACTAATTATTTTATTAAATTCACCATAGAATCACAAAGAAATCAGTTAATCCAGTCCTCATTTTCAAATAAGCAAGCCGTGACCCATTATGAGGAAATAACTTACCTAGCGTCGGATAGGGAGTCAGGTTCAGAATCTGACCTCCCATGTCTGTGGGCTAAATGAATGCCTTGTAGGGGTGGGGTGGGAGCCACCAGCTAGTTTTGGATGTGTGGACACACTGTGAGAGTGGCCTGATTTGAGACTTGCCTTAGGAGGAGCAATTGCTAATCCAGGCAGCTGGCATTGGCCGCCTTTCCGTGGTGGGAGCTCACTTGCAGCTGAGGGCTAAACATGCCATATGCAAATGGAGCATTCAGCTCAGTGCGTTCCTACATGTGTATATCCCCAGTGCCGACCGCCAGACCATGACAGAACGTAGTCACACCAGAAGGCCCCCTCCCTGCAGTCCCTACTCTCAAGGACAACTATAGTGTCCACTTCCATATGGCAGAGTCATTTTGACTGTTTTTGTACTTCACATAAATGGAATCATATGGTGTGTACTTCCTGTGTCTGATTTCTTTCGCTGGATGCTATGCTTGAGGGATTCATCACGCACGGTGTGCATCAGAAGTCAGTGATCTTCCCTTGCAGTGTGTGTTTCCATTGTGTGACCCTGTCGCAGCTGATCTGCCCATTCTGCTATCCGTGGGGGGTTAAGCCAGTTAGACCTCATGTGGTGACGGCAGCCTCTCTTCCATCCACTACCACAGAGGCTTGTGAGGCTCTCTATTAAATCCCTTCTGTGTGGGGGAAATTCCATCGTACCCTCCTCCCTTGGGAGGATTCAATTTGTGGTAGTGAAAAAAGCATCTGTTTGGGGGCAACCAGATCATACATTGACATTTTGCTCTGCTACCTGTGTGGCTTTAGAATTATAAACCCTATTCTTAAAGTTGTTAAGAAGATTAAATTTGAAATGCTTATAAAGCACATAGTATATAGTGCCTGGTACAGGATGAGAGCTCAAACAATATTGGTTCTTTCCCTTTTGGTCTTGTTCAATTAGGTTATCAACTCTAAGCTTCAATTTCCTTATCTGTAAAATGACATCTTAAGTCCCACTTTACAGAGTCGTGGGGAGGATTTAAGGGCCCAGAGTGGTGCCTGGCACCTTGGAAACACTCAGCCAAAACTCCTTCCTCTCCTCATGGGCTGGTCTTGTTCGGTGGTAGGTATGTGGGGTCCGTGAGGCCTGCTTGGGGCTGTTTCTCAAACGCCTTGGGATTATGGTCCTTTCTAAGACTCAGCGTCTCCTCAGGTTGGGTCTTGCTCAGCATCTCCCACCTCTTCCTCCCCGTGTGTGGGCAGACACCAATGTGGACTCTTCCTGGTCATCCGGGCCTTGTAGATAGATACAAGACACTTAGATATTAAACCTAAGAGCAAATCGTATTTGCCCTGCACTTGGTATTAGACAGTGTCTTCCCATCTGTGTTCATAGATGATTCTTGCCACAGCCCTGGGAGATGAGTTTCCAGGTAACATCCCTCTTCTTTAGGTTAGTAAGCCAAGGCTCAAAGAGGAAAGTGACTTCCCTTCCCAGTAATCTCACAGCCAGAGAATTAGCCAAAATTTGAACCCAGAACTTCACTCATTCATGCCATTTTTACGTCTCTGTGCTAAAGATGGGCAGGGGCCATACTTCTATTTTCTTCTTTTGTCCTTTCAGCCTCTCAACAGTGAAACCCACTGTTGAATCAGGATTCTTAAAATTATTCTAGAGAAAGATGAGTACAACAATATTTTTGCTGCTTGAATTCTACATGGCAGAGATACTCAGGCATTGAAAGATCTGTCTTTCTGACATTTTTACTTGGTACTCACAGAATCTTACAGCAGTAGTTTTAGATACTCATTCTGTGCCTTCAGGTCCAACCTAGGGAACCTGAAGTCAATTTAGCAAGTAAAACAATAGATAAATAAAATAATAATCATGGGTTGTAGTAGTTACAATTCCCTGGGTGGAGGAAAGGAGTACAGAGCTAGCTTAGAGTTCACTGGAGACCCTGGACAAGGCTCTAGGTTCAGGAATTATCTCAGTGCATAGAGAGAGTCAATTGCTGGGTTATTGGGGCTTTTTCTACAGAAATTGACATCTGGAGATTGTTTGAGGGGACAGGGAGGGGCCCTCTTCTGGGTGAGGAGCTCCTTGAGTGGGTTAACTCTGTGTAGCCCCTATTGGTGGAAACAGAGTGCCACAGCCTAGCTGTGGTCGTGGCTATCTGTGTCCATTGTTGTTCCATGCTATTCATAGAACATGGTTCACAGACCAGCAGCCCAGCTTCTCTGGGTGCTGTGTGATGGGGCATGGGATGGTACACATGCTTTGGTGGGAACCCATAGTGGGGCTTCTTTGGCCAAGTTGTATGATAATGATTATAGTAGTAATAATATCTAGGCTTTCTCATCAAAGCCTGGGCTTTTTGTTTTTTGCCAGGCTACTTCTCCTACATGCCCCTTCCCTGCCCTGCTTAACGAAAGGCTCCCACCAACCAAGCAGCCTAGTGGGGTAAGGGCCTAGCAGCTCCACAGGAAGACGCTATCGGCTGAGAACGTACTTCCTTATACTCTAAAACATTTATAATTTGGCTTTCATTTCCAGTTGTAGGTAGTCAGACCAGCTACTGCTACACACAGTTATTCAGATGGGGGCCTAGGATTCAAAAAAAGTGATGTGTCTACTAGAATCTTCCAGTGGAATTGAGACTGAAATTTAGGGCTTCTGGTTTGAAATTCAGTGCTTTTTCTATAACTCTGCACTGCCTTCGTAGGTCAGAGAGGAAGACTGACAAGCTGTTTTCCTTGTACCCACAGTCCCAAGTAGTCTCACTTGTGGGATCTGGACTTGGGTAGGACAGTGAGCATGGCCATCCCAGCCCTTGACAGAA